GGATTATAATTCATATCACAGACTAAGATTCATTTCTGAACATCAATTGACCTTTGTAATTTAAAATATTGAATCATGAATCAATAATAAAAATATTGAGTCATGAGGTTGTATTATCATAATGCGTCACCTAGGCTTACAGAAATTATATAACCTAACCGTAAAAATGGAAATATTTCAAAGTGCCGCTATATAACCGCCATCACTGCCTCGCCTACAAGGACGCGCGCGCCATCTAGCGTTTAAAATCCGAAGGTACACAAATATTATACATCAGTATACAACGACTAGAGATGAATATATCTACATTGCATTATTCGTATAGTAATTTACGAGTATTGACAGGTGTCATATGCATCATTTGTGATGTTTATATATGTATAATGAACAGGTGATTAATGTAAACAAGGGCTCCATGTATGTATCGTGAACAGGATCAATTAATAGTTGAACCTTGCCATAATATATAGGCGTTTATGTATGTAGGGTGAACACAGGTGTAGCGTGAACACAGGTGTAGGGAGAACACATGTGTAGCGTGAATACATGTGTAGCGTGAAAACTGGTGTAGCGTGAACACAGGTGTAGCATGAACACAAGTGTAGGGAGAACACATATGTAGCGTGAACACAGGTGTAGGGAGAACACGTGTAGAGTGAATACATGTGTAGCGTGAAAACTGGTGTAGCGTGAACACAGGTGTAGGGAGAAGACAGGTGTAGCGTGAACACAAGTGTAGGGAGAACACATGTGTAGCTTGAACACATGTGCAGCGTGAACACAGGTGTAGGGAGAACACAGGTGTAGCGTGAACACAAGTGTAGGGAGAACACATGTGTAGCGTGAACACATGTGCAGCGTGAACACAGGTGTAGGGTGAACACAGGTGTAGCGTGAACACAGGTGCAGGATGAACACAGGTGTAGGGAGAACACAGGTGTAGGGAGAACACGTGTAGCATGAACACAGATGTAGCGTGAACACAGGTGTAACGTGAACACAGGTGTAGCGTAAACACAGGTGTAACATAAAAACAGGTGTAATATGAACACCGGCGAGATGTAAATCGTAAACAAGATGTATGAATGTAAATTCAACGGAAGAGGAGGCTGGCGGCTCACCTGGGCTGCCCTTCCTAACCATGACGTGAGGAAGCTGGCGGATCAACACCTCGCCACCTCCTGCTCCTCCTCCTCTGGTAATTACACCATTTTCCTCGCAACACACTTCACCCAATCATCCGTGGATTTTCACCAGTTTTACGGGTAATTGTGAACTTCCTGTGTTACTAATCTAACAAAAAAACTACAATTATCTATTATTTACTTTAGTGAATCGAGGCCATGCGCAAGAAATCTTCCTGGCATTTTTTTTTTTTTTTTTTTAATATATGTAATATCTTTCACAATTGGTATAGCACTGAGTAACCACGCGGCATGACTGGTCTACGTGACCCCGTGGAATCAACAACACCCACATCTACGACAAGTCTACGACAGACTAACTACTACAACCAGCAAGTGCTGCTGACGGAGTCTACGAGAGACGCGCACACACACCCACAGGCCGCCTTCCACTGACCTGATGCCTGAGATGCTACCTACCCCCCATCAACGTGCTCCGTCGCTGCCCCACCACCAACACCCCCACTGACACACACAACACACACCTCTCTCTCTCTCACTCATACCCATCCCCCTCACTCCTCACTTCTTACCTCTATCCCCAGCTTGTGTAACAAGATCTAGCACCTGACGAACTTCAGGAACACCTATGTGTTGGTGTGAGCCAGAGCAGTTAAGGGAAACAAATAAGGGACCTGGGTGGTGGGGGTGGGCAAAGTATGTCACCGGGTGGGTCAGTGAGGGTGGCTTACACCACCTCACATCTGACCCCACTCACCGGGGGGGGGGGGGGTTTACCTTTACACACCTGCCACCACAGCTCGCGAATGTTTATCTGGCAACCAAGAAGTTTAGCCTCATCTCGTGTGATGAACTTAGATAACTGAAGCATCAACATGGCGAGGCGTCGAGGCTCTGAAAGCAGGTCAGCATCCCGTGGGTCTGGCAGCATCTGCTTCTGAAGAACCGTTACACCAAATGTGTGTCGTTACAAGCAGACGGAGACTCGTCCCAATACTCTCCAGGAGTGGGAAGAAAACACACAAAATATCGTTAAAGGCTTCTAAAGTGCTGAGAATTTGTATAAGCGATGCCAGAGTTCAAATTATATATCCAGTACTACATAATAAGTCTATGGAGGTTGTCCGCATATTCCAATGGTTCCAACCAGCAGCATGAGAAGCCCCGCCCCCTGCCCTCTGGCGGCGGAGCCTGGTACCTGAGCCAGGTAACCTTCCCTCCCCCAGCCCAGCACCTCCCACTCCCAGCAACCCCCGTCCCTTCCTCTATCACAAGGCTCCCAATTCCTCCCACGACGTCCTTCCTCATCCCACGATGTCCTTCCCCATCCTACGATGTCCTCCCCCATCCCACGATGTTGTTTCCCATCCCACGATATCACTCCCTTCCCCACTACGTTCCCTCCCATTCCCAGGATACCCCTTGCCTGCGGCATACCTCTGGAAGCCTCACTATGAACCATAACAGACGTCCACACACGTGGATCGCAATAAGAATTATTCTTTCCTGAATTACGCCCCGTGTACTACCATGTGAGACGTTACTTTAGAAAACTACACATAGAAA